TTTCATTCCTATAGAAGTTCGACTGCTCTCAGCTTGCGAAGATAAAGTTGCTACAGATCTCGGAAAAATGTTTGTTTGGTTCATACGTCACTGTAGTTTCAACCACACCTAGTGACCTGACCATTACAATCGTCCAGAACTAGTCAACCACTAAACATCGATGACACATTGATCCCCGGGAACGGAAAGTTGAGCAAAGAAATTGAATTGAATGTCCGAATTGTTCCATTATTCCTACTGAGCTGGAATTGGATTTCGATCGAATCGAACTTTCAACTTCGTACGTTCCTTCAGGGAGAATGAATAAAATGTATCACGAACATAGTCACCCATTCTGGACTCTGCTTCTACTTCCTTCGTGCAATTCGTCGTTAATAAATAGATTCATGGAACTATTATTAGCTCTCAAAAAGGCACGATATATTTTATGTAGCAGCTCATCGAAGATAAACATCGCAGCTCGCTTAGCACATTTGAATCACGTGAGCTCTCGACAAACCCGTATTCGAGGTCGTAATCAATTCCAGCTGCTAAAGTCAATTGGTTGCAAGAGAATTATGTAACAGAAGCAGATCAAAGACGGCTTTCCAGTCTAATATCACATCATATGCCCCTCAAAAGATCACGTGGTCAAGTCACTTTGAAGGGACGACATATGGATCCCGCCTCCTTGAGAACTACAAACATACAATCATCTATCAATTCATACGGTTTTCCATTACTAAAGTGCACATGACTACCATCTCTTCACAAGCCCGCAACAGCTCTATCTATTTCGTTCCCTTGAACGCTTTCATCTTACACAGCATCTCTACTGATATGGCATTATCTAGCCTCAACAGATTTACAGCTTCACCATAAGACTAAGAACACCTTTTCTCCCTTCCACATCGCACCACGTATCCATAGTTCTCGCCATATTTCCAAAACCTCTCTCCAGAACCTCCAGATCTCTTCTCACCACACCACCTACACCTATGATCCACGAAACCAACTATCCACCCAACATTCCGCATCAAAAAGGATGAAAAAATAAATAACAATCAAAACATCAGCTTAATCCAAGCACTCTAACTTGAACAAAGAAGTGAGAGATTAGATGTTGTAGCCAGTCACCATACCCCTACAACAAGCCAAAACCAACACCAATCCAACATCCCAGATCGAAATAGGATAAAGAAACCACTTACCAACCCAGCACTAACTTCCACCCTTTACATAACAAACACCAGCTTCATCCAAGAATCACAATTTCAACAAAGAAGTGGGATAATAGGTAAGTAGTCAATCACCACACCCCAACAACAAACCAACACCAACACCCAATGGCGAAACGCAGGCACATCCAAACGTAAAGAGTGAGGGGAGGGGGCCAGGGATGGAATATGCAATGTTATCTCCAACCCCTGGAGGGAAAGTCAATTCGTTGCTAACGTGTGGGTTGGCTGCCAATATCAGGGCAAGGTAAGAAAAACTTTACTGTCAGGCTGAGGAAGAATAAAGAATGTTTCAATTTTCAAGGGATGAAAGAGTGATGAGATATGAAGGGGATTATGATGGGAAGTTATATCATAAAACTAAACTGGTCTGGGGGTAATATGCGTGCCTCTCATAAGTTCTTATTCGTTACTCGTAGAATTTGTCTTATATGCTATAGCTGAAGCTAAGAAGCTAGAATTAAATCAGACCAATGCAATCTAAACCAACCCCAAACACCAAAGATGCTCGTTAGTGAACAACAACAATAATCACCTCAAATTCCCAAGGAACCACAGACAAAGAGAAGGAATTTGGAAAGTCCCATGACCAGGCTTTCGTCAATACCAGAGGAGGGGTTCCCACATTCTTTCATTCCTTCATCCATGCCAGCTCGCTTACTGTCTTGCACATCTCGAATCCCATCGCTTGGAAGCGCGTACCATGAGCGGTACAGTACAGTACAGTATCCTCTACATACCCGCTCTCGCCGCTCTCTCAGGGCCAAGGTATCTATCTATCTATCCATCTATCAATTCTTCTACATATCTTTCTGACAGGTAAAGTAGATTATTAAATGGGGGCGGGGTAGTTCTTCATGCCATAAACCACCCATGACTACATTACCCACAAACCCTTCTGAACCCTTAAGCGCGCTCAAAGGTATAGACACAACCGGTGCAGAAAACGGTACAATAACATATATCAACATAGTAATATAGCACCATCCCACCCACGACCCAGGTCCTGGGACACTCCAAGTGAGGGGTAAGAAGAAAGGAAATGTAGGTACTAACCAACCTGCATTTACGACGTGACGTCCTCACCGCCCAGAGTTGGCAGCGGAAGTGGTTGGTATCAAGGTAAGTCTTTGTGAGATTATTGGAAGTGGATATCCTCAAAACAGATCAAAACAAATCAAATCAAGTGCGTCGTTTTTTCTTTGTCTTTCAAAGGGCTTTATCTTGCGCCGTACTCGAGGATACTGTGGTAGTCCCACAAAAGCTTTCTCCATAGCCAGCCCAGGACCTTGCAGATCCATCGCATTATCTTGTCTTGGTCTCGTCTTGGATGTATGTATGTACATACATAACACCCCACTACTTCGAAGGGAAAGGTATAGTACGTCCTCGTACGCGCGCAGCTGAGCCCCAATCGAAAGCGCGGGCGCGGCAAGCAAGAGCAGGAGTAAGAGTAACATAGTTCACAAATCACAATACCATAAAGATCCGAGTACGAGGAACCGAGTGCTTACAGTACAGTAGAAGTTACAATCCCTTCCCATTCCCATTCCCATTCCCATCAACCCCCCATATTCTCGTAGACTACCTCCATGATTGCCAAAAGAAATCCACAACACGTCCGTCCCATAAAACAGAATCATCAAGCAAGCAAGTAACCACTCCCCACCAACCGACCACGCCCTCCATATTTACCCCTCCTCCTCTAACAGCCAACCCCTCCGCCAAGCCGAAGCGGTCCGGTACAGGAAACCCCACCATGGATCAAATCAAGACTACTGTAAGGATTGCTCTTTCCCCACCATATGCACTTTGTCAAGACTCAAGACTCAAGCGGATGGATGCCTACCTACCTCACACCGAAGTTCTTTACCGCGCTTCGCTTGAAGCGATGGTGAAATCCTCTCATTCTCGTACGAAAAGTCGATATCCACTCTACGACTGTACTGTCGGTAGGAAGTCTCCTCGATACGAATAAGAAGCGTAAATCCCCCACAGATACCAATAACCCCCGTCTATGTGTGTATCATGATGGAAAGATGAGCAGGCTTGTGGTGTGGTACGGTGTAGTAAGATGACGATCAAGAAGAATAAGATAGTGGAGGTATACTTCAGGAGAGTACATATGACTTCGCCATACATCCGTCTCCAAAGCTCGCTCGCCCATCCGAAGTGTCGTACCGTACCACAGGCATCCCCCAAGGCATCCAAACCGACTCAGTTCCTGCAGATCTGCCTTTCCCCTCCTCCATTTCTCTATACATTCTCGTACCACACAAAAGTATATAGCACCCGCAAGGCTCCCAGCCTTCTTTCCATTTCCGGAGATAGTAAGGTTAGTGGGGAGTCTAGAACTTTATTAGTTGCGGTAGTAACACAGACTCACCTGTCATGCTGCTGGTTACTAGCTTCTTCCCCGCTCTTTGTCGTCTTTGGCTAACCTTACTATACCTTGTACAGTCCGTACACCTTGTATAAAAGAATTGAAACTCTTATGGACGGGGATGATGGATAGAGTACTCGCAGCTATTTTTCACCGCTCGCCAAAAGGAAAACGAGGATACTTGAAACGTGCAGTTTTTAGCTCCATGGAAAGAGTTGATTGGGTGATTGATTGGTGGAGAGGTTTTAAACGCTTGTGGGGACGTGATGATGCTTGTTATTGGTGTAGTGTACTCGATGTAAGCTTACCTAAGTGTATATCTACCACCCCATACTGTACAACCTAATATGATGTTGGATGACGCCCTCCTTGTACCAAGTAAGACGGTACTGTAAGACACTTGCTGCTCGTAAAACGCACGGAAGGGAAGGGAAGGGGACGGGCGGTACTTACTGTATCTGCAGGCCCGATCTAGCAGGCCCAATTATTTGCATCTGGCGCGGGGAGTGAGCCGGTTGGAAGAGGGGGGTGTGATGACCAACCAACCGCAGGTCTGGCAGTCTCTTCTGTCAGGTCTGACGATTCAAGTGCCTCCGTCGCTGAAATAATGGCCCTTGGACCATGGCTTTCCCCTCATCGTACTCCACCCCCACCCAATGAAAATGGCCTCAATAATGCCCTCGGCCCTGGCCCCCAAGCCCATAACCAGACCAACATTTATGCTTCTTTCACGTAAATAATTTATGCTTTGTTCATCTCATGTTAGAGAGGGGAGTGCGGTTACGGATACTGGTATTCATGCGAAACCGACAGAGATAGAACCTTTTTTTCTTCTCTTTGTGTGGCTCAAAATAGAAGGGGGTTTTTTTTCGTTCATTCGTTCATTCGTTCGTGGAAACGCGGCAGCGCAGCAGGAGCTGAAGCTGGAGCTTGAGCATGCGCTGAGAAAAAAACGGTTGTGAATGCAGAGACTGGGCAGGAGACCCCGAGGTGACATAATACTAATCATGGACAGACCATGCTAGGAGCAGGCTATTTATTTGTCTAGACCAGACGAGCCAGAGCAGCTCAAGTATGGTTGGGATGATTGGGATGATTGGGTACCCAGCCTAGACAATTAGTTGATGTTGGCGGAATTCATTATTTTGATGCATCGCAAGACGCAAGACTGCAACTGCAAAGAAAAACGGTTGGAAGGAAATCAAGTCTTGTTGAGTCGTGTTGAGCGGGCGGTAGGCACGTCGTGATGGTCTCATGCACCTAGAGACCCTTTCTGCCCTTGAAGCGCGACCCATCCACACCAATCGACTCACAACCCCGCCGAGGCAGATGGGACGAAGTGGAGATGACTCCATGGTGGGAGAATCGTGGTGTTGTTTTCTACTCGTTCGATGTCGTCTTCAAGAATGGTAGTGTGATGGATTGGATGTCTGAGGTGGTCGGGAAGTGGTCATCGTGATCTGCCATGACCGATCATCTTGCTCCCCTTCCATTCGGTGAGTTGAGATGAAGCTATCCACATCCTCGAGTACCACGTCCGCACACCGATGCACGATGAGGAGCTTGATTTGCCGTGAGAAGGAGGCACGTACCGCCGATTCCGCTATTGGAGAGGCAGAGGCCGCTTTGGCGGATGCAGTGCAGTGATAGTTACATCCACCGGCTCTCACCAAGTCATTCAGCTTGGTGCGGATGGTGGTGCAACTGGTGAAGGGACACGCTATCACCGCCCGCTCATAATGACAGCCATTTGTTCCGTATTGGGGACTCGGGTCGCATTCGAGTCGCATTCGCGACGAGGCTCCACCGTGTGGTGTCTTCCGTTTCGTCGACTCGGGGGGTTAACTTGCCAATTGCGGTTCTTTTGGTGTTGCCTGTGCAGGCTCTCGGTTTCCATTCACGTCCGATGAGGCGGGTATCGGAGAATACGATGCTATTCGCACCTGGGCGTATGGCCGCAGTACGGAGTAACACGTTCACGTCACCGATTCTTTTGTATCCATAATGAGTGCGTTGCACATCCAAACCTGGATGGTTGAACATGGACTTGGAGAATTGAGCTCACCATGTTTACTTATTTACTTTGGATTTCGGATGGGGAGGTCTTTTTATATTCAACAAATCTGACTCTTTCAGACTCGATCCTACAGTAGTACGGATCTCACTTAAACTGTTCATTGCATCTCGCTCAAGTGAATAGGGAAATAGTCTCTTCTGATCTCATAGCCCCCATTCTTCGTAATTCACTTAGTACCAAATAGTATATCTGGTGTGATCTCGCCCTGAATCCTAGCGAGCGAGTTGAGGCGGAGCTTCAGCTGAAAGCAGATAAAAAACTCTGAAGAATGCAACTCTTTCTCTCAACGGCCAAATCCGTGAAGTGAAGTGAAGTGAATAACTGAACTGTGACTAGACCCTTAAACCAAGGATCAGATGAACTTCTGTATCTGAACTGACTCCCCTTTTGCTTCTGACCTACTTTGACTATTCAACACCACAACGACATGATCAACAGCAGCGTAGGTAACCATCCCATCGTAAAGACATTGGAGATGTTGATCTAATGACAATGATATAGAATTGGCTTTAGTCTGTCCCTACTCTTATCATTTCTTCGTCCCTTGATTGTATCTACCGTAACGACTCTTACAATCAACTTACACAACCTTCTTCCATGTACAGCACCGCACCAACCCACTACTGTACAAAGAACCCTTTCTCCAACAATACAACAAACCGACAAACTACCTGAAGCTCTGCCAGAAGTTTTGATCTCCTTTGTGGGATTGTAGCTTCACCACGCTAAGTATCTTTGAAGCTATTTTTACGCTGATTGATTTGGGTTTCAACTTACCACAAACAATTCTTTCCAAAACAACAGCTTCTCAAGATGACTAACCATCCTCTATCCAGGGCGGAAGGACGTTATTAAAAACTGCCTCAACGAATATAATAAAAGTATCAATCCCCGTACCATCACAGCTTCACCACGCCAAGAAGCTCTCCAAAGCTTCAAGAAGATTTGATGCACATCCCACAACACAACACATACTCGGTACTTTCCCCAACTCCAAACGACACCTCCATCCAAAGACCAGTCTTGGATTTAGGATTGGCACCTTTTCATAGGAGAAATTGGGCATCACAGTCTTAGGAAAGCACCCACTGACCGGTACACGGTATCCATCCCCCGGTTTTGGCTTTCTTGCGAAGCGAGGTACGTATCCACCAGGACCCAGGTCAGATACAGTGCGAGTACTCGCCTGGTGTCGGAGGCGGTGAACCGTTGGCTGGCCACCCAGCGGAGTACCAAACACAGGCTGATACACTAATTCGGATTTTGATTATTGGGAGTGCGATGAATGGGAGGAATTTGATGTGGAAAAGAGAATTCATCGTTCATTCATCCGTTACTCACTCGCGATAATCATATGTTTTGCTGCCAATGCAAGACTCTCAATACTCGCTTTACGCTTAGAAAAGAATACTGGAACACAAAGATTACCACGAATAAGCTACCGCGAACAGAAAGTACAGGATAGTACTTTATCAATACTCAACGGGATTTTCGCCCATCAGATATGATACACCACGATATCTTCTTGACAATTACGTCAATCACGTATCAAAATACTTGATCGCTTTAGCCGATATCCTCAAATCTCGAAAGCCATTGCAATTGCAACGGCACCTCATCACCTATCACCGTACCGAAGCCCTTTCAGCCTTGGAGATAATCAGAAACCAAGCGAGCAAGGTCCTCTTCATATTACGAATCCCGAACTCTACCTACTACATCATCGCAATCCTGCCGTATTTCCAAAACTTCTTCCCCAATCATGATCCAAGACCAAGCTTAACGGTGTAGCATCCGTACTTCAGTACTGGCACCACCAGAGCCTCTCAACCTCCACGTGAACCTCACAGACGCCTCTCAACACATAACACATCAGCAACGCCTCGGCAGCGACTTCAGAAACTCCACTGCAATTCCCTTCAGGTGGTACATTACGAAGCCAGAAGGCAAATTTCTCACCACGACGTTTCTCTGCAACACACGCTTTCCCATCAAATAAGTAATCGCCACACCACGCTGACGAAACTCCACTGCAAGCCTGCTGAGTAAAAGGCGAAAATCCAGCATTTCTCAGCCACAACGCCCCAGCCGCTCCCGAAGAATCCCCTGCGCTGCCCAGTTTTCCAGGCCGAGACGTCGGACCCCCCGGTGCCCCCCCTCCCCACACCTCGTGACTGCTTCNTCAGCCACAACGCCCCAGCCGCTCCCGAAGAATCCCCTGCGCTGCCCAGTTTTCCAGGCCGAGACGTCGGACCCCCCGGTGCCCCCCCTCCCCACACCTCGTGACTGCTTCCCACGGCTTCCCACCAATCCCGGCCGCTATTCCAACTGTCCAGGGCCCCCTAGCGACCATACACCAAGCCGACGACCCCAGCGCGATACCTGCTCTCTGCTCTTAGTGCCCCGTCACAGGCTAGCTTACCTAGTATCTACGGTAGTCCTCCACTGGGCTGGTGCCATCACTCCCACAGTCGGCACAGTCCACTGGCTCACGCCCGCGCTGCTGCACCTGGAGAGGCACGCCCATCGCCCTAAAGGCTGTCATTTCGCTCTTCATCCCATCTCTCCCGCCGTTGCCCACGTCCACGCCCTCTCCTCATTTGCGCGATATAGGAATCGGGCAAATCCAACACCTTCCACCAAGCTCTTTGTTACCATTCCCTATTTCTTCCTCAGCGTCTTCCGCTTCCTTCTCTCCCTCCCTTTCTCCCGTCTCCATTTTAATACTCCTTTTCAATACCGCAATACCGCGCCACATCTACGCCTACATCTTCACCTACACCGTCAACTCACACCACCACCATTACAATCAAGCCATCCGCCCATTCACACCATATTACTCCTCGTCTTCTCTGAGACCTTCTAGACGTCTTACTACTAGACCAGATGACATCACAATAAGTCAGAACCATCCAGTCACTTGTCAATTATATCTACTTTACGAGCACCTTCAGACTACCGTCGTCTCATTATTACATCAGCCATCTCATCTGGCACCCCATTGACGATCCATCATGTCGAGCCCTCTCCCACCAAATCCATATGAGGCTCTCGGTGTGAAGAAGGAGGCGACGCTGCCCGAGATTCGCAGTGCTCACCGAAAGTTAGTTCTCAAATGCCATCCAGACAAGGTGCAGGACGCCGCGTTGAAGGCAGTCAAGCAGGATGAGTTTCAAAAGGTGCAACAAGCATACGAGCTCCTCAGTGATGAGAATCGACGGGTCCAATACGACGAACAAGTCAAGCTATTTGAACTTCGAAAGGAAATGGGTCGGGGCGTTCCAACTCCCAGGAGTAATCCGTTCGAGTATGCAAATGGAGTAGAAATCAGAACGGCCGAACCACGAGCGAATACCTACAGAACGACCAAACCAGCACAACCGATCCCCAAGTCATATACACAACCCATGCCCAAAGTCTACGCACATCCTACACCCAAATCATCGAGTTACGAGGATTTTCCCTACGGTGATGGAGGACCCACTCCGAGGAAAACGGCAAGCTACGAGTCGACAGACCGAAAGCGGCCTTCTGCCAGAGATGAGGAACGAAGTAGGAGGGCGGCAGAGGAAGAGAGGATACGGTCATACGAGAAGGAAGCCAAACGCTCTTCTCATAAGGACAAAAGGAAATCACAGGAAAAGGACAAGAGAAGAGGTTCAGAGGAGAAGCATGCTCGGGCTGCATACGTCAGTGATGACGATTCTGATGGTTATCAACCCACGCGTCGAACATCCGATAAAAGATCGAGTCGACCAAGAGTAGTGGAAGTGGAGGAGAGATATGTACGGGAGGAACCAAAAGTCATACCACTTGATGATAAATGGGATGAACATAAAAATTTTGCGGCACAATACATGCAAGCTTCTCGACAAAAGGCAGTTCCACCAGCACCACATGTGGAGGATTTCCGTCCTCCTCCACCTCCTCTCCGCAGAGCCGATACTTTTGCAGCTCCCTCATCTTCTGCACAAATGCGACATGTACCACCGCCAATGTATAGTGACGATGAAGCTACCCCTCGAAGATCTGCAGCTCGAAAGGAAAGAAAGTCATCCGAGACCCCGCGAGCCCGAGAAAGGTCAACGAAGGACCGTAGTAGAAAATCATCACCTACACATACACCTTCAAAACCTACGTATCGAGGAGAACCTTACATCGTGGAACCTCCATCTCCTCCACCGGTACCGAGAATGCCTCCTCTTCCTACTCACACCTCCGCGCCGGCAGGTCTCTCTGAATACCTTCCACGAGAAAAGGTAGCTCGCTCAAAGACCGAGTATCAACGTAAAGAGCCTGTCCCCCAGATATCTCGATCACATACATATCATACTGGAGATCCGGCTCGGGATCGAACCAGTGCAGGTGGTAGTAGTAGGCTAAAAAAGGTTGCTGAATCAGATTCGTCGGATAATGATGGTGCCCAACATGGCTACGCCCAACGTCGCTCACACAGCCCCGCACGTCAACCCCACAGAACCGAGACTACCACACGATATTTTGTCGACAAAGGTCGTGCAGTGGACGTGCATCCTCGCTCCGATATGCGTGGAATGAACGATGGACACGTTTATTCTACCAACCGAAGCCCATCACCCCGTGGAACTCGTCGGGATCGGGACCGCCCTCCACCAGTGATGCGAAGTCAGAGTACCAGCGACAAATATCCGCCTGTTCGTGTAGTTCCCTCACCAGCATACTATGGTGAACCCGAATCTATCAACCCAGTGGTAGTGGATGTGCGACCCAAGATGCCACCCAGAGAAAGTGGGTATTCAGTGTCAAGTCGGGCTACGCCACATTTTTCCAAGGTCGATTTTGCTCCCGTGTATAATCACAATAACGTCATCTACGCGCAAAAACCAGAACCTCATTATTCCAGTACCCGAATGAATGAACCACAATATTCTGCAGTTAGTGGCCGGAAAATACTTTATGCTTGATCTCTTAAATGAGCATTGAGCATTCGTTCGTCGCGGCAGCGATACTTCAGAAAGGCGAGGTCTATTTATCCATCATGTCACCGCAAGGCCGATATTTCCCACTTGGTCTTTGTACAAAGCACGCGATCACAGCATATTCATATTCACGAAAATCCCGCAGAGAAAAAACAACCTCACATCTTTTCCTCGTATAATCAACAACAGTAACGAAAGAACGAATATGATTGGATGATATGATAACCTCGGCCGGCGTTTTTCTTTTCTCTTTCTTTTCCTTTTTGTTTACAACATCTGCATCCTCCGTTATTTGCAGCAGCTACGTTTTCCATTGCTTTCCCTGGCTAGCAAGCGAATCAATCAGCAAAACAAGCAAGTCATGAAACGATGGAGGTGTTCTTTTTCGACGCTCTTTGTTATTTCAGATACACCTTTTCTACGAAACGAATGGATGCATGAACATATGGGTATGGGGGCTGTGGATTTGGACATGGGCATGGAGCAGAACGAGGGTCGGGCGAGCGAATGAGATGACTTGGGAGGAGAGGGTACCTTGATCTTTTCCCAAGATGGTTTCAAGATTGATTCTGTACGCCCGGTTTGAGTTTGTTCTTTGCGGTGGGTGGGGTGTGCAGAGGAGAAGTGGGATGTCCATTTTTGGGGGGAATTCATTCATTCATTCAGATTTCGTTGTTGTAGATTTACAATCGAGATTTCTCAATTACGAGTATTACTTTTTTTCTTTCATTCCATGACAGAATGGGGATTTGTGGGATCGTGATGTTTTTGCATGGTAGGTAATGAGTTTACTTCCCTATCGGGTTTTCTTCCAAGTAGACTAGGTACTGTAGTGTCATGTAACCTCATTTGATTCTTCGGATTGGGTATTTATAGTCAGGCTGGTAATTTTGTTACTGTAGTCCATCTTCCATCACTACCTACCCTTCTTGAATCATGCTCCCCGACTTAACGGGGACATCTTGATTTAGTATCCTTCGGGCTTTCGTGCGTTGAGTAGGTATTTATCTTATTCGTGACCTATGGTGATTGACATTGTGTGGTTTGTTGATGTGATATCGTGAATGGTTGGCTGGGAGGTGGTATAGTATAGTATTTTGGGTTGCATAGTTAGTGATTTTAGTACCCGGTAACTGGATTTCCATTCCATAACCCCGCTCTGTCATATTCCATTCCATTCTCTTTATAAAATTTACAAGAAGGTCTGGAATTATTCTATTCTATTCTATTCCCCCCATTCCATAGAACCGAATGATATAACCCGGAGAAAAGATCCATCCTCTCCGTAGACCTATAGGAAGCCGAGATTCTTGTATGATGGTATTAGCACCGAGAAGGTTGGGTTAGGTTAGGTGAATTGTATAGCTTATATTAGGGTGTACTTTGTGGGTTTTTAGTAATTGAGCGATGAAGAGAAATACTTACTTGGTGTTTAGAGCGGGTTGAGGGTTTTGGTATATGTATGGGTATGGGTCTAGTTGGTTAGTATTTAGTTTTCGTAAGGATGGATAGTGCTACGCGCTGGTTCGTTGGGATAGCCTCTCTGGAATTCGAGGAAAATGGAATACTGGAGGCTAGTTGAGGGGATGTTTTGTTCTTTTTTTGAGGGTGCGCTGGAATTATTTTATGGAATGGAATTGTCGGGGTTTTAGGGATTGTGGTCCTTTCGTCGAGTGTTGGGTGGGTTTGGTTGGTGGGTTGGTGGATGGGATTTGATAGAGTGGAGTTTTAGAGTTGTTTTTGGGCGGGGGTGGGGTGGGGCGGTCGGGGGGGTTGATGAGTAGTATACCTTACTGGTGAGGTGGTGTGATGTGATGTGATGCATGAGCTATGTATGTGGTCCGTAGACTCTCGGGAAGATTACAGTAGTTGAGATATGATTGGTAGATTTCTTGACGGCGGGACTGATAGTTCGCTGATTGTTGATGGTTGGAGATAAGTGATAAGGGTTGGAGAAAATGAAATAGGTGGGGACCTGGATTAGTGTAAGGACTGAGAAGGATTGAGGAGAGGGTGGAAGGTAGAGGGAGAGGGAGAAGGAAGGTGATGTGTTGTGTTATGTTGTTTGCTGGATGTGAGGTATGATATACTAGCTGTTTTTTGCTGGAATGTAGATGTTGAGGGTGTTGGGGAGTGAGGAGTGAGGAGGAAGGATTGTGTGGATGGAGGAGGAGGAGGGAGGAGGGAGGAGGANGAGGAGGGAGGAGGGAGGAGGGAGGAGGAAGGAGGAAGGATGAAGGATAGTATGTAAATCGATTAAATTTCAGCACGATCAAAGAATCCATACCCTCCATAAGCAAATCTTCAGAGAATTTCTGCTATCATATATATATCAAGACCTGTAAGTAAATATATCCGCAAGAATTCCAAGTTCTACGTATTTCCTAAATAGCATATCGCTTAGTAGACAGGGAACACGGTGACTCTGTTATAGGGTGGACCTTGGTTACGATTTAGCTAATTTACCTCGATAATTTATGGTCTAGTATAGGAACTGTTAATAAAATACAGCAAGGCTTTTCCGAAGATTGCCCTCTTACGGCATCCTGAATGTACTAAAAGGTCGGATAGAGTAAATACTAATTCGCAAATCGCAAATCGTAAAAGTTATATTTACTACTACTGTACTAGAGTGCCTATACCCCTACCACCCCAAGTACTTAAGAAGGTAACCTGATTATATAACCTCGCTACCTACTGTCACCTACCCTTACTTCCGCCTACCCTTACTTCCGCCTACCCTCGCTGTCGCTATATCCTCACTTTCGTATCCTTACTATCGTATCCTTACTATCGTATACTTACTATTATATTCTTACTATCGAATGTGGTTACGCCCTAGTATATTACTTAGGGGAGGGAGGAAGGGAGAGAGAGAGAGAGAGAGAGAGAGAGAAGTAGGGAAATAATTTAGTTGTACACGTCGCTCATCGTTAGCCTAGGATACTACCTCCCTAAAACGGCTAGGCTAGTACGTGTTCTACTAAGAATTATTTACTACCTACCTTCGCGCCCCTCGCTCTTCCTTTCTCTCTCTTCTCTTTTTCTTACGATAGCGATAATAAGAATATAATAGTAAGGACGCGATAGCGAGGATACGGTAGCAAGGATACAATAGTAGGTATAAGTATATAATAGTAAGGGTAGGAAGGAGTATTCGAGTTGCATTTAAGCTTATTTACTTATATCGAGTAGTTTTAACTTTAATTCTAACGCTATTAGATAACCCTAACCCTAAGCTAGTTTGCGATTTGCGATGTCGTACTAAATAAGATTAAAATATAAGATTTACGATTTGCGAATTAGTATTAAGTCCATTCGACCTTTTAGTACATTCAGGATGCCGTACCTCTTTGCTCGTAAGGGCATTAATCTTTGTGTTCTTCTAAGCTAAGGCGGTTTTCAATCGACTTTATTCGACATGTAACTCTTTTGATAAATAAGCTATGTACGTAATATAAAGTGATGATATTACGCTGGTACGGATTATTATATTATCACTTTCGTATCCTTACTGCTGCGTAGAGTTTGTGTCCTAGTACATCGTAGAAGGGACATAGTTAGAGGTTAGAGAGTAGGGGCAAAATGTATGTAATTTTGTTATAGGTGTCCTCGCTTAATGAGCTATTCCATTAATAGCTTCTTTCTAGATAGTAAAGAGGTTAATATAACGCTAACAAATAACAATTCTCCACCAGTAAAGCTTTAGCCATAGAAATACGATACTAGAGGAGGATAGAATACCTATCTCTATAATCATGTGTTGCTAACAAGTCAGAAGCAACTGGACCAAGTGATTCAATGTTATTATGTACTTATTTGACATGTAAAAATTATAATAATTAAACATTCTCCAGAGACAATTCTAATATGCCTCAAGTATGTCTCGCTATCTGTTATATACCTAACCGGTTTACTATTTAATTTATAAAGATTTATTTTCCACTACCTATCTATAATAAACTCTTTCTCTCTCGCCTTATTATTATAACCATCCAAAGGTTCTAGCGAGTCAAATTTCAAGCTCAATGAGTATAGTAGCCCCAAAGTAATAACAACTACTGTAATATACAAAACTTCAAGGAATAGCGAGAGAAAAGGCCAAAGATTCTTATAGTATCGCTATTTAACAACCTGTTTTGTATAGTAATATCTACTTATATATTCCCAAGAATGCCGGTTTTGTGTCTATTACAGTATTACCTCATTATCTAAAACTTAGCAAAACCAGTGGACGAGTTTCTCGAGGAATGATATTACGCCACATGCCACCATATCATAGAGAAGATGGCCCTGAGAAATGACAATAGCTAAATGAGGTAAGTACAAAGAAACTGTTTTCCTATGATCAATCTTTAAAAGTATTAATAGTGTCTATCTAGGTTGTTAGCTTCGACATAGGTAGCGAGGAAGCGTGAGAATCACGTGACAGTTGAAGCGAGCCTTTTTAAAACCCCAGGCATTCTGGACGATGTCCAAATGCTGAAAATTGCGACATACAACAACCCTTTTTCGTAGAAAGGTTTGATTGGTTCGCTTAAAATCCCAAGTGAGCTATGGGATAAAGGGAGTGAAATTCAAGGTGAAGAAACAGTTGCGCTGAATATTGTGCCAAGGCCAAAATTGAAATTTATACCACTATACTCAACCATTATCTCAACCAAGCTTACCCAAATCCCTTAACATCCTAATAATAGCATCCTGCAAATCCTCTACCGAACTCAAAACCGGAATTCCAGCCCTCCCACAAACAACTTGCACATTACCCCTCTTCCAATACCCCTCTGGACACGCAACAACACATTTACCACTGCCAGCAAATAACCCCAGTTCCATCAGAGTAACCGGAGCCTGTGAATTCGCGCCAAACCAGAAAGCTATTACGTCTGCCTTTTCCATCGCATCTAATTCCCAATTGGTCTGCTCCGTGAAAGGCGAGAATGAGAGTGTTTCACGCCAAGATGAGTCCCAGTCTGGTCGATGGGGGTTGAGGATTGTAATGGGCAGATGAGATAGTGATTCTGAGAGTGCACTCTGCCACGTTGTTTTTGATTTGTCGATAGAGCCTGAAAGGAAAAGTGTTGGGCCTCTTTTTATGTAGTCATTGGGTGCTGAAACTAGGCGGTGCTCCGGGTGTTGATGAGTCCAAGTCAACAGAAGGTTGAACACATTAGGATTTGTCGTAGTTGGAACGGAAACTCTGAATGTTGCCGTGACTGTTGATAGATCCGATCGGCTTCCTCTAGTTACATGTTTGGGATACTGCGATTTGGTGAGGCTGTTTTCTAGAGTTGTTGATGCTCTGTCTGATTGTCTTGAGAGCCATAACGTTTTGTCAAACATCTCCTGGAATATTCGAAGCAGTTTTTCATCTCGGCTTTCAGAAATCCCCAAATCCTTCCTAATAATAATTGAACACCAAGGTAAATGGTCACGGAACCCAAGCATGACATGAACTTGGTTATCACCCTTCCTTACGACGAGAGTGGCTAACAGGCAACTCTTTGTGTCATAGGAGTACAATAACTCATTCGATTCCTGTTTCCAAACAACATGATGCGAGTGTACCAAGGGCAAAAGTTTGCAAGATTGTGGCAGACTCACAATTATCATGCCAGATCTTGTTTTGTCTCCTTCATAGATTTCATCGTCGCTTGCTGTCCCGGAAGGTAATACGTATATACCTTTTTTATTGAATTGTTCGCTCTGTGATTTTGGATATTGTATCAAACTTCCCGAGGATATTCTGACAAACGTGTTCATTTTGGAAGGGACACTTTGAAGCAAAATACAAAGAAATGAGATTGATTCATTTGTAGCGGACGTCTGAGTGCCCACCCAAGCAAGGCACTCATTATTCGGGCAATCCAGAAGCGGCAACTCAACTAGTATACCTCTGCTAGCGAGATTAGGGAAAGTCTCGGGCTGTTGATCTTCCTTGTAGTCCCCGGAAGCAATGTATTTACCACCCAAAAATTCATCGGGAGAATGGGCCAAGAGACCACGGTACTTGCCACTCATGAATGATGCTTTCCAAGCAAATATAGTATAGTCTACAGTGTATTTCAGCATCAACTCTTCTTGCAATCGTCGGAAAGCACGGCTTCCTTCTCCATATAGCATGGTGTTGTGCTGGGTCTACTTTCTCTTCTGCTCCACTCATAGTTCTGCTGCCTAAATGCTTCATGTCTGCCTAAACCTTACACTCTTTACATAAACACCTTAGATAGCTACCTTTTACAATGCAATCAATTCTCCATGACCTTCAGTACCCAATACCCTTTCAACCCAATACATGGGTATGAAGACGTCAAACAATCCTAGTAGGCTGTATGCAGCATCCTCAACACGCGTAGTTGACCGAGAAGCAGCCCAAGAAATTCTTTCAGCGATAGAGCCTTTTGTGGGATCGGATCCACGTAGTACAGCAGGGCTAATATCGGTAATATCGGAAATGTGCTCGCAGAGACTCAGATTAGTTCCAATTTCTGTCCAATTTCTGTCGTATAATTCAACAAAAGTAGGTGCAATGAGTTCCTCTGTAAAGAACATTAGTGTCCTGGCCTTCTTTTTTCACCAAGTAGAAAGTATTTCAGGGCTACTCACGCAGAGTCCAACCTCGAGTAAACCATCTACTATTCCAGAGACTGGGCTTTTCACAGGAACTTGTTGGTGCCAAGAAATCTTCGAGGTGTACGTAACAAATCCGAGCGTTTTTGTACCATCTATACACGGAACAAATTGCTTCCTGAAGTTCAGCACTGCTAGATTTATCAATACAGCAAGTATCAATCCAAATGTATTCAAATCCATGACTTGCTGCCAAATCACAGCTTTTTCTGACTTTTGAGTACAGCCTTTTGCCTTCTGCTTTGCCTTGGCACACATCTGAGAACGACACTTCATCATCTGCTGAGCCCCAGGTATGGGACAGTATGGCATACTCGGGACTGTCACTACCAAAAAAGCTTCGAATCTGGAGGGGCTCTGATCTAGTGTCTAACAAACGCATGCCAGTCCTTGCAGTATCCAGAACTGACGAATAGTGTGTCTTTCTGATTTCGTCCTGGAGTCGACGAAAAGCCCGACTTCCTTCGCCATATAGTATCGGCATATTGATATCAAAAAGCCCCATCATAGAGTATGCCTCGTCTTCTACCTTTGTGGTTTTTCGATTCGAAGCCCAAGCCATTCTCTCTGATACATGACATTGCTTTGGATTCTTCTCTCCAAGCAATACCGCTGGTGAAATCCCTGTAACTTCCGAGATCAAATGATTCAAACTGCTTCTTGTTCCCAATATACGCCAGTTTTTGGCAAAGAACTTTACTACACGAGGAGCCACTAGATCCTGCAACGTCCATTTCCGTGTAAAATAGCGACTATTTCGAATGCCAGTTTGTCCATCTGTAAAAGAGCCCGTAACAGAGCCAGGAACATCGGATAGATAAGCATAACAAACTACCGCTTCTTCGAGCCACTTGTACGCTAGATTGCACGCTTTGTTCATCTCTTCCCTATTCGATCTGTCGACACAGCAAGTGTCGATCCAGACCCATTGTATCTCGTCTACTTGAGCTTGACGACAGCATTTGGTAATCTTCGCGAATCTCTCCATGACGTAGACCGAGGTATCTTGAGACTCCAATGGAGAAACATCCAGTATACATACATCCAGCAGAGACACCTCATCCAACCCCCACATGTGTGACAGGATGGCATATGGAGGGACGATAGTGTCGGAGAAGTCACGAACCTGAAATCAAGAAGTATTCAAGAGACGCATTGCAAGATTTGGTGCGCACGGCTTTGAACCAGTTCATAGGATGGTTGCTCATCTGAGAATGAATTATGACTGTGGTGAGATCGATGTTTTTTCAGCTCGGAAAATCGTATCAGCCCCGCGTAGGGGGTGTGGCTCTCTTCACGTGCTTCGCGATATTGCTCAAGCTGGAGGATGATATTTGTTGCTTTCAGACCCAGAATTAGTTTACAAGGAGAAAGAGGCTCCTCGTTTTTCTCCATACAAATATTCAGTTGAAACATGGATAATCTATCTCGCCAACAATTCTAGCATTTACACGTGACCTAAAATAGCACAACGACGGAATAGTTCTTGTACGCCTAGTTTACTTTCGTTATCGAGCATTGTCCTTTGATGGGTTATTTTAACGGCTCTATCTGAGTTGCAGAGTACAAGAATGTAAAGCAGAAATCTTGATTGTCGGCGAGTGAGGCCAAGTAGATTTAGTAGATTCATTAAACATGAGCACTCAGGTAAGATTACAGAGAGTTACATTCGCGATATAGTGCTAATTATAGTTGCGGGCACGAAGGAAAACTTTCATGATACCTAGAACTGTATTCATTTAGATCTTCAATCACTCACTGTGGAAGATATCCTAGCATTGATATTTGCGTTTCAAGTCCCGTATATATCTCACATCGCTACAAGATCTCTTGCGTGACGGAAGGCTTTTGACGCAATTTCTTCTTCTTATACCCAGTCTCTCAGATATGGGGGAGAGAAAAACACAACAGAATATGAGGAAGAGCAAGAGCGGTAGTTCTACTACTTATCCTGTTCATTTGGAAGCGAACAGAGAAAATAAAAAGGTGAACTAGTATATTTCGTTTGCTAATCATTAAACTTACCATATCTATCTAGAACTATATCTAATACAGCTGGATTCTGTGCTTTGATCAGTCCCAAGTAATAGCAAAAACTATTAAAGTCGTAGTTCTTATCCCTTGCACCTCCAAATAGTTGTGTGAGATCACCTGGCATACATAGGGAACAAGATATCTCAACTATCCTGAATCTTTCAAATACTATGATAGTTTATAGGGAATCATGTTAGAGCCACGGGTTAATCTTCTGTTAATAGTAGATAGCGAATGGCAAGGAAATGCTAAGAACCTAGGTATGTCAGCTGTTTCCTCTCTGTTATGGCATGATTGGCACCAAACCCCCCAAAATAAGATGTAGTGAAGGTTTAGAAGAAGAGGGGAGGTTACAATTTTATGTTTTAGACATCTTCAAAATACCATCAATATTATCACAACAAAAAGTATAACCAAAAAGAAAAAAGGAAAGGAGGGAGTAGAAAATTAAGCGAAACCACCAAAAGAATTCCCCTTCTGCCATAGCCCCTCCTTAGTTTAGCTTACGTGCCTTTGTATCTCAAGAAAGGCTCAAAAACAACATCATGAAGTCAAAGACATGAAGCTGTGACCTTTCAATGCACCTCTCCCAACGAAATTCACCCTAAGGCAACCTCACAAACACAACAAAAGACATCCCAGTTTCAAAGTGGGTCCTCACTCCCCAAACCAACCAATGAACTAACGCAGGACATTTCTCAACTCCCACAAACCAAACCACTAATCCTCCCCCAAGAGGCACAATAACCGGTTGGAATGTCAATAAAACAGATCAAGGACTTGATGGTGTAATGGTAGCATTCGCGGCCCCATATGGTGGTGAGCGAGATGGAGGTTTGAGTCCTTCTCAAGTCGTGTGGTGGTGCTACCGTTGTTGTTTGGTAACATTCAACACGGGACGTCCATCTTTTTTTTCTTTGATGGTCTTTTTTGGTTCCTTTTTTTGTGTCAGGATCTTCAAGAAGAGGGGTTCGCGAAGTTGACATCAGATCTGAACCGACCAAGGTTTGGCCCAGTCATGCGGTTATCAACCTACAACCTGCAACCTTAAATGACTGAATTGCGCCAGACAGCCAAGATGGAAGATGCTCATCCAAATGGCAGTGAGCTAAATTAAGACTAATCCATATTTCCTCTGTGTGTAGCAGTTTTTGCAGCGACAGTGGTTGTCTTTCTCCGCAGGGTGCACGCAAAACAACAACAACAACAAATAGCCGAACTAGCTAACCGAAATCCCAGTGTTTTAAAGAGAGTATTTAAAAATACATGGCCCACAACTTTAATTCAACTACACCCCGTGTGTAACTATGCATTATTATTAGCTCTTTAAAATTGTTCCTGTCATAGTTCATATCCTTTCGCCAACACCTGACAACTCTGCATTTTCACTCACAGCGACTGCGACTGTGCATGGCACAAAAACACTCTGCCTCTTCTCTGTGTACTGAATAATAAAATAAGCACCACCAAGGAACAAACTTGTTTTAACAACTACACCTAACCCAGGTGCAACCTAACACGACTACCACAGAAGCCTAGCTGCTTCCAACAACCCAAGAACTGTAATGACCATAACCCCCTTCTCAAACATGTATTTAGTACAGCTTTACTCATCTGTTGGAGGGAAACCCCCAGCCGTGCTACTATAGTCTCAGACTCACACAGCACGTTAAAAGGAATAATAATAATAATAATAATAATAATAATAATAACACGACTACCAGGGTTCAGGGGGTCAAAAGCATTAACGACCAGTAAAGTATAAGAACATCTCTACAAGATCTAATCATCAAAAAAAAAAGCTCAAAGAATTGATATAGTGACCTAAAAAAATATCTCATCGCGTTAGCACCAGATAACACAAAGAAACACCATCCACATCGCTCCTCATTGCCCCTTCAGCGCCCTCCTATACCTAACAACGCGCCTTCTAAACTCCCCTCTCTCCTTTCCATCATCCCACATTTCTAACAAATATCACCCAACCTCCTACGTCCCTCCAAATACCATATCATAATACAAGACACAAGCACCCAGATGATCAGCCAGCCAGCCAGCCATTAGATATGCAAAAACCCCACAGCCCAAATCCTACAACACACAGTACTCGTTCACCCCTCACTCACCCACTCACAAAACCTCATATCCCTCTCAAAATATGCAACCCTAATAAAACCACAAGAAATCCTACGAACACCACAAGGTCTTCAAAGCTCACTGATCTACCAAACAGCCATCACCAAAAAGAAAAGCCTTCTAACAATGTATTGAATCTATCGAATTACGCTACGCCCTCGCCTCTCCCTCAAAAAACTCCAAGTGAAAAAGAACCAGGTACGGGAAAAACGGCAAGTCAACCCATCCACCGAGCCATCTTAGGAAAGAAATCCCAGCAGGACAGTATAAGTATAATTCCGCAATGCGATGCGATGCAATGCCACCCACAATGCCCATCCCCAATCAACAAAACCACACACAAACACTCACTCATCCACCTTCCCCAAATCCATCACCTTCTCCAACAACCCCCCCTCCACCGCCGTCTCCGCACTCGAATCCTCAAACCCCCCATCAACCTCCCCACCCCCAAACAATCCAACAACCTCCTCTCCCTCCCCTTCCGCATCCGCATACCCCTCCGCATCCGTCTCCCCATCCCTCGAACTATCCACCGCGCCCTCATCCCTCAACAACCCCCTCATCTCATCCTCACTCAAAAAGCTCTCCATACTACCCCGTCTCCTCAATCTCGTCTCCCTCCGTCCCCGCTCAACCATCCGCTCAACCTTCATGCGGTTAGCGAGGAACTGCAGTTTCGGGAAGGCAGACTGCTGTCCGACGTGCAGCATGCGCGCCAGCTGTTTAGGATTGGGATCACTGAGGATGCGCCAGAAATCGGAGATGATGGAGCGGGGCCAGATGGTGATGGTGCCCGAGAACTGCTGCAGCCAGATCTCGCTCCAGTCCTGGCCGAGGGGTCGAGGTAGGAGTTCGAGGTGTCGAAGGACTTTGAGCCATTTGTTCAAGTCGAGTTTCAGGTACTGTTCAGCAGCGGAACCCAAGAAGCCACCGCGCCAGCCGCGACCACGACGATGGGTAACGGGTTGGCCGACGGAACCGCGGGAGGAGAAGAAGAAGAGGTTGATGTGGGGGTTGACTTGGGAGACTATGCTAAAATTGACGTTGAAGTGGAGGTTTAGGGCTTTGAGTGGGATGTCGGTGCGGAGGGAGCCGTCTTTCCATTTATGTCCGAAGGAGTAGGGAACTAGTGTTCCTTTGGGGGTTTTCATCATAAGGACGACTGGGTTGAGGATTCCTGGAACGGCGGCTGAGGCGAGGACTGCAGACCAGATCACACAGTCTGGGCTTGTGAGGTAGTTTGTAAGAATTCTATATTTCGTCAGTATAAATGCACGAGGTTTTTCGGAGAAGAAACATACGTTGGAGAATGTGGATCAGCAGGAACACAGGAAACATTCAAGATCCTCCCGGTCCTCTCGTAGGCCTCTCTGAAAGTCATGCTTCCCCTTGAGAACCAACTGCACTTCTTAGCCCACTCGAGAGAATCGAATCGTGCGCCAGTCTTCCACCAACGTGGTCCCCAAGTTGAGAAGGGTTCAGAGCAAGCATCGATTCTACCAGCAAGCGCTGGAACGAGTAGTTTCTTGAGTTCCTCGTTGGTACGTGTTGCTACCAAGGCAGCTACGAGAGCTCCACCGGATGTACCAGTGATGACTTCTGGTAAGAGGTCTGCATCGAGGAGAGCTTTGACGACACCGAAGTGATAGTATGCGAACGAAGCTCCTCCAGAAAGACACAATGCAGTACGACCGAAATTGGTCTGCATTCTTTTGAACAGAGCTCTCTTCTCTTCAGCTCCAATTTGAGTAGTATCAGCAAGCAACGTGACCGCTCTCTCAACTAATGCATGTCAGCTAAACTCCTTCTCAAACATTGAAAACATTGAAAGGAGGAGGGGAAAAAACTTACGTTCGTCAATAAACTGCTGCACCAAATTCTTCGTCCCATAATAAGTCTGAGAATACAACCTCGAGTTCTCAACACCCACAAAATTACTCTTCACACACGCCTCAACCAGACCCTTCAAGTCCAGAACGGCCTTCTGTTTCGTCCCATTGCCATTCCCTCTCTCCTCACTCTCCACCTTCCGCCTACACTTCCTCAACTGTTCCACAACCCTCTTGACAGTTTTATGATCGTAGTACGCGAACGTCTCATCCTCCCTCCACTTATCATTCCCCAAATAGCGATCAAGCTCCTTCGCAGCCTTAACCCAATCCGCATAACACTCCGCACTCTGCAACTTCCTCCTCAACCTCTCTCTCTTCCCCCTCCACGCAATGAAATGCTCATAAAGCCAAATATAAAGCCGGGTCAACATATAACTCGCGCCCAAACCCAACACCCACGCGCCCACAACCGCAAGGAAGGGCCATTTCAACAACGTATATAGATACCCCTCCCTCGTCTCATCCCTACTCCGTCTAGGCTTCCTAATCCTCTTCCCCTTCTTCTTCTCCCAACCCTTCTCCCTCCTCCAACTCTTCCTCTGGGGATTAACAGGCGCCCAATCATTCTTCGCCGTAATAAAGAAGCTCTCCTTCCTCGGCGTCCTGGGACTAAGACTCCTCGCACTTGGGCTCCTGATCCCCTGACGAAGCTGCTCGGTGTTCAAATTCAGGGCACTACCCGTCGAACTGCCTCGTCTCAATTCCCCCGTACTACCTCCATCATCGAACATGCTCATAGTACTAATCGAACTCCCCCTCCTCTCTCCCAAGCCACCAACTCCCATGCTCGAGGACTCTTCCAACGCGCCGGATTCAGGTGCCGCAAGTGCGTTAGCGAAGGCGATCACATCGTCGTAGGAGAGGAACTCGTAGTTGAAATCCGGGAGGAGGGAGGGATCGAAGCCTTCTGGACTATGCGGTGCAGGCCCATCTGTGTCGCGCGAGAGATCTGCCATTTCTGCTACTGCCAAATCTTCTACTCTCAGCGTAGTAAGTCGTCAGACGTAACCTCAGTATGCGTGTTCAAGTCACCGCCTCGTCGTCGTCGAGCCACGGTTTGTGTTCTTTCCCTCACAACTCGTACTCTCTCTGAAACTCAAGTTATGCTGGACAACCCATGCAAGCAATCCCCCATCTAAGATTCTCCCAAGGGATGAATATGTACCAGTCGTCGCACTGTTTGTGTACAACCAAAGCGCAGTTAAGGAATGTAAAAGGTAGCGGGGTTGGAATGCTCTCGCAAATGTCTCGCGTCCACCTCGTCGTCGCAAATCCGACCTCGTGCTACCCTTCCTCGTAGATATGACGTAGCCCCCTCGTCGGTATTCAGTGAAGCACAGTTCACTCCAACTCTTCTCAACCCCCAAATATCGGTGAAAGATTCATTCATCCGGGATTTCGCTAGCAGCTTCAATGGACACATTTTCTTTTAGGGGATCCCGTCAAGCACATGCTAAACTACTCAGTGTACATATACAGTTTAAAGTTAGTTCCAACGGTGCTGTCCACTTACTTGGCGGGGTCTTCATGCCATCAGATGCGCTCCCGGGCAAGTCGTCTGACAACCAAATGAATCGGTGGAATGAACGGCCGAAAAACGCCAACGGAACTACCAACAACCATAACAATTGCGTCACTCAGTTACTCAATCACAATGTTACATGCTCATAAAATGAAGATAGATATGGAGGATTTCTTATTCGCAATACTATGCAGAGAGGTACATACATCCATGGCCGAAGAATTCAAGAAGAAGAGTCAATGTCGGAAAAGCTCCCACGTATTCATTTCTTCCTCATTCATTCCCTAACATGAAAGAGAGAGAAAAGGGAACCCCTCGCAAACAAGAGTCTGCCACAGACAGACGCATAAAAAGACGACCCTTTGCTAATAAAAAAAACTCCAGTCCATCGTAACATATTCTCTGTAAAGAGCCGCCTATCTTTGTATTTCGTTCGCTCGTTCGTCTCCTTCAACTTCCCTCATCCCCCTCGCTATCTCGCCAATATCATTTACACGTATTGTGACAGCCATCTGATACCTTCTCCGTAACCTATCCCGGCATTAGAGTCTGTAGTATACCCATTTTCTTTCCAACAAAAAGAAGAAGGGGGAACATGAACATACCCTGTCTCATAACCACCGAAACCATAAAAACCTCAATTGGTCTAATCCCCTCAAGTGGAACCTTCCCCTTACCCGTCGTCTGATAAAGACCCAACTGATGTCTCAACTCATCCTCACTAACCGCATCAGGGTGATCAATCTTGTTACCCAAAACGACGAAAGGGACCTTGGCGAGCTCCTCCATGGAGAGAAGGGCATCGAGTTCGACCTTGGATTCCGAGAGACGTTCGTGGTCCTTTGCATCGACTAGGAAGACGATGCCTGAGACCTCGGGGAAGTAATCTTTCCAAAGACGACGTGCTGCACGAAGATGTGAGGATGGGGGGATCATGGCGTGGAAGTAGAGGGGATACATACCTTGTTGATGGCCTCCCAAGTCGAAGGTTGTGAATTTGACGTTGCCGATTGCTAGTTCCTCGGATGCTAGGTATAGCTGTTAACACCTAGCCTGTACCCATTGTATATGCCGGAAGCAGAAGCAACTTACTTGGATGTAAAGTAGGTTGGAGAATAGCGACACGGTCGTTCTATAGTAGCCATCTCATCAATCTCCATCCTTTGTTCCAAAACAGATATACCATGCGCTCCATCAAGCTCGCGATCCCCATCTCCACCGCAACGTACCTTCAACATATGCAACAACGTCGTCTTTCCGGCATTATCGAGACCCAGGAAGAGGAGTTTCGCATGTTTATTCAAGAGTCCCAAGGACGCTAGGGTATCCCAAACTGTGTATCCCCCACAAAGTGTCAGCTATATCTGTCGACATGGCAAGAATATAATCAAAGGCAAGCCAAGTCCTCGAGGTTCGCAACGAGCGCCAACGAGCCAGATGGACAGCTAGCTGAAAGGGACAGCAAGGCTAAATAGCTTTTGCGTCAAGGTAGGAGGACTTACACCAGTTGACAATCCACATTTTGGATTTCCGTTGAATGTATAGGTGCGGTGGTGTACTCGTTGATTCGTGGTATGAATTATTTCAGGACAAGGTAAGGTACAGATGGTGATGGTCTATCTGGCGTTGGCGCTTGAGCGTGAACCTGATTTGTTGCCTTGGTTTTGAGGCTGTGACACAACAAGAAATGCGTATTCTGACGTTAACTCGGCTTCACAACAGAGAAACATTCACAGAGCTACAAGCCATACAGTCATTTTCATTGAACTCTCTAGACCAACTGAAACGGGTACTTCCATAGGAACTACCTGTCCAGGAGGTCAGTTGGTCAATTGTATATCCATACCAACCTACCACATGCCTACTCAACTCAACCAACTCATCATTCACTCACTACCTTCAAAGACAATTTTCTATGTCCTTATCCTGCTCAGCCTACCTACCTATCTACCTCCTGCAAATTTCCCCATCCCTATGCAGAAACAATGACTTACTTCAGCGACCAATCAATCCAACCAGTCCATTCCACCATCCCACCATTTCAATGTTCACTCATATAGCACAAATAACTCTCTGTCTCTGATGTAGAACCCCTAATCAACCAAACAACCCAACAATAAATTCAAGTTTCAAATGAGGCCACACTTACAACCGTTAGCAAAGTACTTACGGTACCTCCTTAAAACCTACATAGATTTCCCAAACTTACAAAATCATCGATTTTTCCTTACTATACCTACGAATCTCTTATACTTGCTGTTGCGATATATTCCAATCCTTTAGGTCACGCTATTTAGACCCACCTCGTTCGAGTACTTAATACTCGAGCTCTCACACTCACTTAGCTCCAGGCTCCTTAACAATCGAATCACATATGTAACCACTTTGCTTGTTCACAATACCACGCTGTTGTATTCCCCCTGGGAATACGACAGATATCTCTATACTAACACTTACTCCCCCCCATCTAACCATCCCTTCTCTATCCTACCATCCCACCATCCCAACATTCCCCCCAATCATCTCAAACAATACAACAACCACCTCTCTACCTCTCTCCCTCTCTCCCTCTCTGCCTCTCTGCCTAAAGCAAAACCCCACATCAATCCAACAATCCAACCACAAAAACAAGTTAATAACAAAACCATCCTTACCACTAGTCCACCTCTAATAAACTACCTACCTACCTACCTCCCTTTACCAAAGTACCGTCCCTACAATACTATCTAATAATATAAGTATATAGAAGAAATACCGCCAAGGTTTACACAGCCACGCAGGTATCGCGGTAGTGAAATGTAAATATTTAAGGGTACTAGTTCTTTTCATTACGCTCTACTCTATAATACTTAGATGGTGATAGAAGAGGTCTTTACGAAAGGGGCCTAAACTCGGTAATCTTACTTAAAGTAAAGCCTAGCTTGGATTTGGATGGAGTAGATTATTTTATTACAGTAGTATTCCTTATTCCCACCTACCTTCTCCCTCCTATTGCTTACCCTCACTTACTCTCACTTACTCTCACTTACTCTCACTTACTCTCACTTACTCTCACTTACTCTCACTTACTCTCACTTACTCCCATTTACTTCCATTAACCATCTATCTAACCAACCAATCCCCTCAATAATCTTACAATCACCACTCCAACATCTCACCATCTGACCATTCACTACTCTAATACACCCTCCCTTACAAACCAGCACAAACAGCACAAATCCCTCTTTCCCTCTTACCTCTCTCCACTCAGCAATCAACCAATAACCCATTCCCTGAATAATGTACAGTACCAAAGAATCACCAACAAACTGACTGACTCACTTATCCCCCCCCCCTCTCAACACACACACTCACTCACGATAACTCATCTAGTACTTTCAACAACTCAGTCCATAATCCTACTCAATACTTACTGATTCACTTCCTACCTCACAACCTACAACCCACAACCCACAATCAGCAAAACATCCAAGTCTCCAAGTCCAAACATCACCTCTTCACTCCCATAATACATAAAATCCCACTCCCTTCCCTCCCCCTCCCCCTCCTCCTCCTCCCTCCCAATACCACACTCCACCCTAATCCCCAATCCCCCTTACAAACTATAAACAAATCCCTTCAAGCCATGCCCCACAACAAAACCGAAACACGAACCCCACCCCCTCTTCAAGATCCACAAAAACACAAAAACACAACAAAGATCTCAACTTTCAAGGAAACCCCCCTTCTCCTACCACATAATTAATTATCCCATCCCTCTCATCCCTCTCAACCCCATTTCCTATCTACCCACTCCCTATTACTCCTCCCCACCTATCTATCCCTTTCCATAGACAACTCCTCCACTCCTCCACTCCTCCACTCCCCTATCACATCACCCCTTATAACCTATTCACAACCTATTCAAACCCTTTACAGTCCAAAACCTCACTCCTCACTCCTCACACCTCACACCTTACAACAACACCACTACCAAAACATCACCACCAAACCATCACTACAAAAAAATATTGTAATTCAAATAAATATATCAAAAAAAAAAAAAACACACTCAAAGAATCCCCATTCATATACAATACCATGCTACGCTAAACCACGCTATGCCATGCCATGCCATGCAATATACCTATCACAAAAAACCCCACACCCAACCCCAATCCACCACCTCCCTTCCTTCACACGATGAAAAAAACAAAACCGTGTGGGTAAACAATTCCCCCTATATACATCCACATTTCATCTCCCCTCCCTCCCTCCCTTCCTTCACGCAAACCAGAATCAAAATCAAAAATATCATTCCAAGCAAAGAAGATGTGTGCAAATGTTCAGTAATGATTCTCATAAAGATAAAAAGAAGAAAAATGGAAAAGATAGGAAAGAAACCAAGTATGTACAAAATCCCCCCTTACCCCTAACCCCCCCCCCCA